ATGATATCTCATTGTTGTTTTGATTTTCATCTCTCTAATGGCTAGTGATCCTGAATATTTCTTCATATGTTTGTTGGCTGCCCGGATCTCCTCTCTGTTGAACTGTCTGTTTATATCCTGTGCTAATTTTTTTATTGGGTTATTTGTCTTATTTTTGTAGCTGTGTAGTAATTTCCTATATATTTTAGAAATGAGTCCCTTATCTGATATATCATTGCAAAAGATTTTTTTCCCATTCTGTGTGTTCCCTTTTTACTATCTTGGCGAAGTTTTTTGATGCACACAAGTTTTTAATTTTTATTATGTTCCACTCGTCTATTTTGTCTATTTTTGTTTGTGTACGTTTCACAATGTGTGACAGTCCGTATATGCCCTGAATTTTTGCCCTCACGTTTGTCCCAATTTTGTCATTGCTGATCTTCATAATTTGGGGATTCACATTTAGATCTTTAATACATGTTGTGTTCATTTTTATGTATGGTATGAGGCAAAGGTCTTGTTTCAGTCTTTTACATATCGCTTTCCAGTTCTGCTAGCACCATTTGTTAAAGAGACTGTCTTTTCCTCATGCAATGTGCCTAGACATTTTATCGAAGATCATTTGGCTGTAAGTGGTTGGGTTGATATCTGGATCCTCGATTCTGTTCCATTGATCAATGTCTCTTTCATTGTACCAGTACCAGGCTGTTTTCACCACTTTAGCCATGTAGTTTGAAATCGGGGAGTGAGAGACCTCCAACCTTTTTGTTCTTTTTAAGCAATACTTTGCTTATCCTGGGTCTCTTTCCTTTCCATATAAAACTAGTGATTGTCCTTTCCATCTCTTTGAAGAATGTTGGTGGAATCTGGACTGGGATTAAATTGTATTTGTAAATTGCTCTGAGTAGTATTGACATTTTCACGATGTTGAGCCTTCCTGTCTACGAACATGGTATGTTCTTCCACTTCTGTAGGTCTCTTTTGGTTTCTTGTAGTAGTGCTTTGTAATTTTCTTTGTATAAGTCCTTTGTTTCTCTGGTTATGTTTATTCCTAGGTATTTCATCCTTTGCGTGGCTATTGTAAATGATATTGCTTTCCTAATGTCCTTTTCATCGTTATTGCTGTTGCTATAAAGAAATCCAATTAATTTTTGTATGTTGATCTTATATCCTGACACTTTGTTGAATCTTTCGATGAGGTCTAATATTTTTTTTCTGAGTCTTTTGGGTTTTCTATGTATAGGATCATATCGTCTGCAAATAAGGAGAGTTATACTTCCTCTTTGCCAATTTCGATACCTTTAAGTATTTTATCATGCCGTATGGCTCTGGCTAAAACTTCCAACACAATATTGAATAGGAGCGGTGACAAAGGCCATCCTTGTCTGGTTCCTGTTCACAGGGGAAGGCTTTCAGTTTCTCTCCATTGAGCATGATGTAGGCTTTTGGTTTTGTATATATGCTCTTGATTATGTTGAGGAATTTCCCTTCAATTCCTACTTTGTTGAGTGTTTTTATCAGGAATGGATGTTAGATTTTGTCAAATGCCTTTTCTGCATCAATTGATATGATCATGTGGTTCTTTTCCTTTTTCTTATTTATATGATGGGTTAGAATTGATTGTTTTTCTGATGTTGGACCATCCTTGGCATCCCTTTTATGAAACCCATTTGGTCATGATGTATTATTTTTTTGATGTGCTGTTGGATTCTTTTGGCTAGGATTTTGTTGAAAATTTTTGCATCTATGTTCATGAGGGATATTGGTCTATAATTTTCTTTCTTAGTGATGTCCTTCCCTGGTTTTTGTATGAGGATTATGCTTGCTTCATTAAAAGCTTTAGGTTGTTTTCCATCGTCTTCTATGTCCCAGAATAATTTGAGTAGAATTGGTAGAATTCACCCATGAAGCCATCTGGACCTGGGCTTTTGTTGTTCTGGAGTATTTTGATGATCTGGTCAATTTCTTCTTTTGTTATAGATTTGTTCAAATTTTCTTCTTTATTCTGAGTAAATTTAGTTAGGTCGTGTTTTTCTAGAAATGTATCCATCTCATCCAAATTTTCAAATTTGTTGGAGTACAGCTCTTCGTAGTATTCTGTTATTATGTTTTTAAATTCTTTTGGTTCTGTTGTGACTTCACCTATGTGGTTTCTAATGTGATTTATTTGTTTCCTCCCCCACTTTTCTTTAGTTAATTTTGCCAATGGTTTGTCAATTTTATTAATCCTTTCAAAGAACCAGCTTCTTTTCCTGTTGATTTTTTTCTATAGTTTTTCGGTTTTCCATCTTGCTTATTTCTGCTCTTATCTTTATTATTTCCCTTCTTTTGATGACTGTAGGTTCCCTCTGCTGGTCTGCTTCTAATTGTTGAAGGTGCTGTGTTAATGTGTTGATTTTAGCTCTTTCCTCTTTTTGGATGTGTGCATTTATCACAATAAATTGTCCTCCCAGGATTGCTTTCGATGTGTCCCAAAATTTTTGTTATGTTGTGTTTTCATTCTTGTTTGTTTCCAGGAACTTTGTGAATTCACATTTAATTTCTTCTTTTACCCAGTCGCTTTTCAGCAGGGTGTTGTTCAGTTTCCATGTATTCGACTTTATTGTTTTGGCATTCTTTTTGTTTAAACTTCTAATTTTATAGCATTGTGGTCTGAGAAGATGCTCTGTAGAATTTTGATGGTTGTGAATCTATGGAAGCTTGCTTTGTGGCCTAACAGATGGTCAATTCTGGAAAATGTTCCATGCGCACTGGAGAAGAATGTGTATTGTGCCATTGTTAGATAGAATACTCTGTATACATCTATGAGGTCAAGTTGGTTGATTGTGTTGTTAAGTTCCTCTGTCACATTGTCGAGTTTCTTTCTGGTTGTTCTATCCCTTTTCGAGAGTGGTGTGTTGAAATCTCCTGCTACAATTGTGGATTTATCTATTTCTTTCTTCAATTCCATTAAGGTTTGCTTCATGTATCTTGGTGCTTTTTCGTTGGGAGCGTATATATTTATTATGGTTACGTTGTCTTGCTCAATTGACCCTTTGATCATGAGATAGTTTCCTTCTTTGTCTCTGGTTTTTATCCTAAAGTCTACTTTGTTGGAGATTAGTATTGCTACTCCTGCTTGTTTATTGCTGCTATTAGCTTGGTAACTTTTTTCCATCCTTTGACTCTTAGTCTGGTTTTGTCTTTTTGTGTAAGGTGTTTCTCTTGCAGGCAACATATTTATGGATCTTGTTTTCTTATCCATTCTGCCACTCTTTGTCTCTTCACTGGTGCATTTAATCCATTAACATTCACTGTAATTATCGATAGGTATGAATTTATTACTGTCATTTTGTTACTTTTTTGGCGGTGTGTTCATTCTTTGGTTCTGCTTTTCTTCTTGTATTGGGTTTGTATTTTTTGAGTTGATTCTGGTTGGTTTCTTCCTAGTTTCTCTGTTCACTTGTTCTGTTTTGGAATTCGATTTTATGATATTTTATGGAGTGTTACCTTTCTTTGGGGTTACCTTGTAGTCTACTAACTTTTCTCTGCATTTAGGATACTCCATTATAACCTGTCATTTACCTGGCAATCCTACCACCTAGGGTTCTGTTGCTGCATTTGTCCCTTCTTTGACATTGATATGTTTATGTCCTTCAGTTGATCTCTGGGCTCCCTTGATTTTGTTGTTGTAGTCTCATTCTCTTCTGGACTCTGCCTTCTGTTGGCTGTGTTCCAGGTGATATTGCCATACCTGTCAATCTCTGTTTGTCATCCTTTTTTGTTGGTTCTCCATCCCCAGAACTCCCTTTAGGATGTTTTGAAGTGCTGAATTGGTTTTGATAAAACCCATCAGATTCTGTTTATCCTGGAATGTTTTGATCGCACCATCATATGTGATTGATAGTTTTGCTGGATAGACAGTTTTTTTTTTTGGTTTTGTTTTGTTTTTCTTGCAGGGTTTTTTATATGTCTCCCCATTGCCTTCTTGCCTGCATGGTTTGTTCTGAATAGTCATCGCTTAATCTAATTTGCTTTCCTTTATAAGTTATATTTCTCTTCTCCCTGGCTGCTTTTAGTATTCTTTCCTTGTCTTTGATTTTGGAGAGCTTGATTTTTTTATGTCTTGGAGACTTTCTTTTGGGGGGTCTATCCTTCCTGGAGTACGTTGGTCTTCTTGAATGTTTATCTTCTCGTCTCTCAAGATGTTACGGAAGTTTTCTTCCAGAAGCTCTTCAACTATCTCCTCTGTGGACTTCTTTGATTCTTCTTGTTCTTACATTATTCCTCTTCATGTTATCCAGCATGGATCTTAGACTCTCTTTAGATTGTTTTATCCTTGTAGCTGCTTGCTGGTCTATCTTGGCAGTATGGAGAGATTTGTCTTCCAGTTCGCTAGTTCTGGCTTCCATCTCTTCTAGTCTGCTCCTTTCCCCTTTCAGCCTATTGTCTATTTCTGATATCTTATATTGATCACCTGGACATCTTTTTGCAGGTTTTGAATTGTTTCCAATGGTGTGTCAATCCGATTTGATTGTTCCTGCAGTACTTTCCTTACTTCTTCCTTATTTTCCTCGACCCCTTTTCAGAGTATTTGAATTTGTTTCCATATCATTCTTCTGAATTCCCTCTCAGGCATATCCAGAACCCACTCCTCCTCCTCTATAAAGCCTTTGTCTGTTTCT